CCCCGGGCCTATTTGTACTTTTGATAACTCCAATGAGGGAAACCATATGGTATGTGTTTGCTTTATTTCATTTAACATTATTCATTCTTCTACAGATATCTCCAATGTATCCTTCTTTTTAGCTGACTGGTATTCCATTATGTATAAATACCAATCTTAACAAGCCTATTCCAGTAATAAAATTTGACAGCTATGAACACATTTGATCCAGTATCCTACTTAATGTGGCAAGATCGGAATAGAAATATTAAGGAAAAGTGAAAATTGCTCTTATTTTATGATTCTTACTTTGAGACAGGTAATCACTAACCATTGAAGCAAATCTGAGTAGATACCATTATTATCACTTTACAAATAAAAAACAATCTAAAAAGTCCAATGACCTTGCAAGGTCGTATACAGATCGTAACTGGAAGGTCTGTAACACACACAGATCTTCAGGCCTGTGTCCATGTGATCAGCTGCTAAATCCTACAGGGCTGTGTTTCTCTTGTTATCCTTCCTTTGCTGTAATTTGAGTTTGCCACTTGGAAATAAGGGATTTATAAAAGGAGAGGGACTACCTGATAGAATTATCAACTTGTAATACAGTCTTCAATTTTTAAAGAAACAAATCAGTCAAACATGGAAAATCATCATGATTTCGTTGTTGAAAGGTACTTGGTGTAAAATATTGAGTTTTATTGAATAGTTCAGATAAGAATGAAGAGCCCGTGTGGATTACCTTCTCTCTGGGGACATTTCCTTTGCAGTCCTCTGCCCCTCCTGTGTACATGGTGATATTGAGAAGCATCCCTTGTGTGCCCCTTAGAAGTCACAGGCAGGTACCTTAAAGCTCATGAAGAATGTTAAATGTCTTCTTAAGCAGATTTGCTAGCTGCATTCTTTCAGATAATGTCTAATCAATTTTTATTGGCTATTATTTTCAAAGTGCAATTCTGGATAGTTCATGAGTTGTGTTTTTTTTTTATCTTTGAATAATTTATACTTTATTCTTCCTAGGAATAGAAAATTCCCAATACTAGTTCAAAGAATAATTGGAATAAGATTCTACTAAATCAGTGGACAGTGTGTAATTTAATATGAGAAAGAAGACAGTAATTTTAAACCACACTGAAGAGTATCTTTCAATAAACTCTCTTTGGTGAATTAAAATAAAAATATAGATACTATTACATAAGTCATACCATATAAATGTAGCCCACCCTCTGCATTTTTAAAGAAGGAAAGTTCCATATAAAATATTAGCACATATATGTTTATAACCAGGCAGAAAAATATTTTACTTTGCGCTCTATTTTTACATATAACTTAGTCGTCTAATTTTTCAATATGATTCTGCAACATGTGTTCAGTTCTTCAAGCCTAAAAGGTACGTTCCATGTAATAATCCAGTTTTTCCCTGTGGCATAAGTAGTGCCAGAGAAGCGATGACAGAGAAGATTTTTTGATCAAGAAATAGTGCGGTGCTATGTAGTGTGGTTTATGAAAAAAGATGGACTGAGGAAAGTTGGATAGCTTAAACTCTCCATGTAACTAGAAAATTAATATTTCTAAAGCCTTTTAACTCATTAGTGAAGACACTTTAAATTTTTACATTAATAATGTTAACCTTCTACTTATAAATATATTGTGTTAATCTTTTCTGAAAGTTATAAATAATCTCTTTTGGTGGTTCTAGGTACTAACAATGTGTCGGTAGGGCAATAGTTAAGTTTCAGTTGAAATCTAACATCTGTACAATTAGCAAAAAAAAATCCTCTTTTCGGGATGTGAGCTATAAAGCGTTACAACAAAGAGAAATATGGATAAAAATAAGTATTCACATCAAAAATATTTTTATTCCTATCGGGTCAAGGGCAAATGTCTGAGTTGAGCATTCAGGTCCCTCTAAATCCTGTCCCCGACTGATATTCTCAAATCTTAACTCCCAGTACTCTAACATGCAGTGTTCACTCTCAGCTCATCTCTGTGGTCCACCTCAGGTGTCTTCCTCCCACTACATTAAATAAACCCTCCTCACTCTTCCATTGCCTTCTTTCCCCACCCCTTTTTATTCCCATTTTTGTGAATCTTACTTCTCTGCATTAACCAGCTTTCCTGTTGCTAGGACCAAATATCCAGCAACCAAAGCTTAAAGGAGGAAGTGGTTTATTGGGCTCATGGTTCCGGGGGATTCAGTTCATAGTTGTCTGGCTCTTCTGCAGGAACAGCATGGCAGAGGAGCTTGTTAGCAGAATGCTTTCACCTCATGGAGGTCAGAAAGCAGAACAAGGGAATAATGCCAGATAGAAAGGGGCAAGAGATCAGATATGTTCCCCAAGGCCTGCCCATGACCTGCCCAGACACTTCCGGAAGGAAGCGTGCTTTACTAACCCCCTAGGTGGTTCACAAGCCAATCAACTTGACAGTTCAGCCTCCCTGCCACACTCTCCTAAGAGCAAACTTCAGGGAACAACCTCTGTGAAGTCATATTCAAACATTCCGACTCCAAAGTACACATGCATACGTGATATTTGTAGCAAATTCAACCAATATAAAAAAGTTACAACCTTTTTAAGGTCCGTGCCTTAAGAACCTGTTAAGAATTGCCAGAAGTTAATCCAGAAAGATGAATTATGTTTAGTGCGAATTGCCAGAAGCAGATCCTTCAAAGTGAAAATAGATATTCCGGAGATGCTCTCAGGACTGGCAGTTGAGGTTGAGTCCTCCAGCTGTTTATTAGTGCTGACCTCAGGAACTTGATCTCTCAGGGGAGTGGTGCAGAACTAGTACAGAACTCACAGGCACGGTGGGTGTGGGGGCCCAGCCCAGGTTTTCTATTCCTGCCTGTCAGGAGTTGAGGGCTGCCCCCCGGGGACACCCAGTCCCTGGGGCAGGAGCAGAAGCTGAGGAAACCTTAAAGAGGGAGGGAGGGGCTAGCGATCCGCAGTCATCCCGAGTGCTCCACAGAGAGGAGTAGGAGGGTCTGGTGTGGCCACAGAGAAATGGGCAATAAACGTCTTTTCACAGAAGATGAACCATAAATTGCCGATAAACTTTCGAGGAAACCGTTCATAACTTATCAGGGGAATGGTTATTACTATTGTACATTTACCACATTGATAAAATCAAAAAAGAAACCTTACAAAGCCAGTGGCTAAGAAGGGCACGGGAAGCACAGTTCTTATGCACTGATAATTTTGGTCATAAGTGGATAGGGCTACTTTTAATAAAATGTGGCTACGTTTAATAAATGTAAAGTTCTATTTACTATGACCCAGTCATGTCACCTTTAGGGGTGTAACATAAGTAATTAAATATAAAGGTATATGCCAGGATCTGTGTTCTAAAATAGTCAGAGAAGTACGGCTTGTAACAGCAAAACAAAAACTTTAAAACACGGATAATGTTTGTTATAAAGAGAGTAGTAACTAAGTTGTGACATTCACAGAATGTTATGCCGTGCTGTGATGGCCGATCATTTACGTTAAACGGATGAATTTGAAAAGGCCAATGCTGATTTTTAAATGTTTCAGGGAACTGTACACAGTATGATTAGATTTATATAATATTCAAAAGTAGGCAAAACCATAAAATGCTTCTTTTTTAAGAAATTAAGGGGATTACCTTGGAAAACCCTTTAAATAGCAAAATAATTAACACCATTTAGGAATTTAGCAGATAAACGGGAAATACAGTCAGGAAGGGGCACCTAGAGAGTGTCAAAGATTCTGTCTGTTTCTTCATTCTATTCAGGGTACAACTATATTCGTCTCAATAAAGAAAATATTTCATAACAAAGGTTGGGCAGAGGAAAAGAAGCCATGAAATAAAACTCGGATGTCATGTCCCAGGAGTAGGAGGAGAAGCCCGAAAACTGTTGCTGCAGAAGCAAAGAAGGAGAGAATAGGCAACACTGGCAACTGTTGCTAAGCACTGTGGGATAGAAAATGAAATGCAGCTAATGGGTTTGGGACCAAAGAGGTCGCTGGAGGTTTTGATGAGTGTAATTTCAGTAAGAGAGCCAAGGTTGGTGCCAGAAAACAGTGGCTTGAGAAGCAGTAAAAAGCACTGAGTATAGACAGCTCTTTAAATAATTTTAGCAGCAAATGCAAGGAAAGAGGTAGATCATAATTTGAACAAAAGGCAAATTTGAAGGCTATTTAGAAATACTTTGTTAGGTAACTTAATCTGGCTATACCATAAAGGTATTGAAATGTTTAAAGATAATTTTACATGTAGGAAAAAAAATCCGTGTTATTTCAAGAAAATTTCTTCTGGAAAAATCTTTCAGTTAAGTCTTTTTTAGGAAAGAGATGTGATATTCCAAATAACTGTTTCATCTAGTTTCTAAAATTTTCCCAAAGGATGTTAGCTCAATTTCTGATCCCTCTAATAGCCTTTATAATTCTGCCTAATTGTCTTTTCAATGTACTTGCTCATTTTTAATAACAGAAATTGTACCAATTTGAATCATAACATGAAAATACATTGTTTGAATTTAAAAAATTATCGATGAAGGTATCATCAGCTTATTCTTTCACTTTCCATAATGGATAATTTTTAGCAGCACAGTTTTATGTAGACAAAATTTTATGACTCACTGAAATCATTAAGCATATAGATATTCTTACCCTGACCTTACATGTGAATATTCTACCAAGAAAAGAATGTTAATTTTAAAATTACAAAACATGCCACACAACTTGAGAGTCCCATTAAAAAGTTCATGGCTGCTGCCCCTAAGTCCAGGCCAGCCATGAGCAGCGTTGTCAGACCTTGGCAGTGACAGTCTCAGTAGACGGAGTGGTAAGGAGCTGGGTGACTGCCATTTATTTTAATTTTGGACAAAATTTCCAAGCTTTAACAACTTGCTCGATGAATTCTTCCATTACTGTGTTACCAGAGTAGAGTTGGAAATGTATTACATTTCTATTTTCTCTTCTCAGAGATACATATTTTTGTTCTGTTTCTATAGTAACATTGATGCAGTAACTAAAACTTTAACTTCTTTTTAGACTCCCGGATGGCTTCACGCAGCTTCTAAACTTGACCCAGCTCTACCTGAATGACGCCTTTCTTGAATTTCTTCCAGCCAATTTTGGAAGGTAAGAATAAGAAATGCAAGCTATGCGATTTTATTCACCATCAGTACGTGCTTTCCCAGCGCCAGCTGATGGGGCTTCCAAAGTGATAATTGTGATTAAAGATGGGTCAGCATTGTACAACATACAAGACTCTGTTGATGCAGGAATTATTTCTGCAAAAATGAAATAAGGTTAGGTTTTCACATAATATTGATAACAAATAAGTTCTAGATGAATTAGAGTTAAAAATCAAAAGAAGTAAAGCCAAAATGTGATCTGGAAAAAATTCAGTTAAATATTTCTGTCCCTTGGATTGTGAAATGCTTTCTAAGCATGGATGCAACAAGGAAAATAATACATCAACATATTTGGGCCCTTGCATACTCTAAAAATAAAATAGGAAAGTAAAACATTTGAATAATAAAATAATAAACTAAGAACATATTTCCGTTATATATGAAACACAGATTATTTATATTTTTACTATATAAAGAATTCTTACAAATGAACAAAGAAGACAAAGATCTTAGGGGAAATGGGTGAATAATATGAAAAGACAATTTATAGTAAAACAGAATGGCCAGGGAATACCTGAAAAATATTTATCTTCAAAAATAATAAAGTAAATACAAAATAAAATGACAAGGAGAAACTTTGTTTTCTAGACTATCTCGAAAACTATTTCTAGAGTAGAAGTGTGGAGATAAGCCCATGTTCTGCTCCTCAGATGGCAGGATACTATATATTTAAAAGCTTTGAAGATAGAGGGGGTGAAGGGAGGACAGGAACAAGGGGAAAAAATGAGAACCAAGACCTGTCATGTAAAGGTACAAGATCCCAATAATGATTGTAACTCTACTGTATCCCTAAAATGTACCAATAAACTCAAAGCTGAAAAAAAAAAATACCGGCAGCCATTGCCTTTGTAATTCATTTCTAGAAATATCTCACACAATTGGCAGGTATAACATAGGATCTATAGAAAGTACATTTATTATTATTGGGCAAAATTTTAAAAAGTGAATCACATCCATCTGGAGGTTGGTTAAATGGGTGATTCATCTACGAGGTCATACTCTGTGGTGGTTAATAATCTGAATTTTCCACGTGAATATGCATGAGACAAAAGAGTGATTACTCTGGAATGAAATTACAGGTAACTCTTATTTTTATTCATGTTTTTCAATATTTTCCAGCTGCTCTGCTCCACAATTCTATTTTCTATAAAACATGTATTTTAAAAGCTGCAACATTTTAATTTCATTGTCAACTGCATTTTTCTAAACAATCATCTTTGAAATTGTTCAGATAATAGATGAGGCATAATTAAGCACCTGTTGACAGAAGCCAGCGTCGAACATAAGAATGGAGTGGATAAAGGGATTCACTTAGCAGGAAAGAGCTTCCATTTACACACTGAAAGCACATTAATGTTTCCCAACTGCTCTTAGTTTTGTGGATCACAGTACTGCAGCACTGATGAGCACCATATACTTGGGCTGTTGTAAAACTCACAGATTTTTAAAACAGCATTTTCCTGGCTTCTAAATGAACCAAAGTTCACTGTCTCTCCACATAAACCAGACCTGTCCTTCTGGTACAGACCGCAATGTCATGATATACTGTGGAATAATCAGTTTATTAGATATTTATCACTGTCATTTTGACTTTTTCACTTGGATTTTTGTCAGGTCCCTTTAATTCATGGATTTCCAAGTTTTGGGCTTGTGTGGACCTCACGGAGTGGAAAGGAACTATATTGGGCTGTGTATTATATAAGTATATAATATATAAATATATAATGTAGTTAATGTACGTATGCAACAAAACTTCCTTTCTGGCTTATTCAATTATTTTGTCAAATAACAAAAGCCCAAGTTTGATAAGGAAATGAAAACCTTACATGTGTGCTTCATAAGAATAAACACCTGGCTTCACAGGTGCACACACATAGGGAGGTTGAAATGAGATCACTGGTGATGGTGTGTTTTGCTCACTACATCACACAAGTGCGTGTAGGATACACACAAGTACTGATTTTACTGTTTGTGGCTGGCGTGGCACGCAGAGTTAGCGCCTCACGGCACCCTGACGCACATGCCTCAGGTTCCAGCCCTGCCCAGTGGAGTCCTGAAAATGTCACTCAAAAGCACGTAACAGCGTTCACAGCGTATGACTTTGTGGGGCTGCATTACTAGCTGTGTGGGCCACATGTGGCCTGTGGGCCTCCACTTAGATGCACCTGCTTTAAGTAACCCTAAAGTAAAGATGAGATGCGAGCAAGCAGAAAACATAATACCAGCACCCAACTACTTGGAGTTAGAATTTGAGCTCTGTGTAAACTGACTTCCAAACTCTGCTCTGTTTTATTATTAGAATTTTAAAAGTTTTTTTTAACCTTCTCTTGTGTAGTTAAAGAAAAGGATGCTTAAGGACCCTTCCCAAACTCGAGATCCTATTCTCCTAAAATCTAGTATCAATCTCAAAATATGATCATACGAATTGAGAAGATTTGAGGCAGATACTTCAGAAACCTCTTTTACTAGCAATATACCCAAGAAGACAGAGAATCCAGTTCATCTGTCTTCAGAATTAGCTTCGTCTGAGTACATTTTGGAGCTCTGTTTTGACACAAACAGCCGCATACCCCAAACCTGAACTGGACCCGAGGTGCATTCCTAATGACAGATGACTCCTAAGCAGCGGGAGCTCAGGGCCCCTCTCATCCTCGTGGGTGACTCTCTTCTTCCACTCTAACGTTGTTGCAGGACAGAGGATGCCAAAGCCCGTTAAGTGTTAATGTTGAAATGTATGCCTTAGAGTCCGCGACGCAGAGCAGACTACAGCACTTTCCCACTGTGTAATTGATGAAATCAGTAATATCTATTACTTGTTAAAAATGATGACGTGCTAGAAATGCTTTTCATGAATTACATCCCAGTGGATGTGGTGCTTTTATCACACACATACTGATGAGGAAACTGAAATGAGAAGGAGGTCATTTAATTTGCAGAGTGTTATAGACAGAGTAGTCACTCAGATCTGCCCTACCAGAAAGCCCAAGTTACTTACCTCCGTGCTCTCCTATTCAATTTTCAAGTTATAGTTTCTGGATGGAAATTATTGCTGTGTCTTAGTGAACACAGTGCCTACTACCTACTACATATTCAGTAATATGTCAAATGCACAAAGTTAAATGTAGCAGTGAATGCCTTTTTATAAAACATTGGATATTTAAAAGTCCTAGGATTCAAAGATAATCATTGCCATATCTTCATTTTCACAAAAGTGCTCTGCCATTTTCCAGAGTTGCTATAACTCTCTTTACCATCAGTCTGCATATTTCCTTAAAATCTGTAACCACAGGAAAAAATATTTGAGCAAAGTCATTTGGATAATAATAGTTATAATTTACCTTATGAATAGTTTACACAGAAATAAAATTAAAAATTTTTTTAATTCTTTTCTATAGACTTGTCAAGTTGCGGATCTTGGAGTTAAGAGAAAATCACTTGAAAACTCTACCAAAGTAAGTAATTGTATATGTTCTAAACTTTGTATTGTGATTTTTTGGTAGGAGGAAAAAGAGCTGCTTACTTTTATTTTGGCTGTTTTGCCATTTTGACTTATTTATTCTGTAATTTCTTCCTAAGGGTCAAAAAGTAAAGTAAAGTGTAGGAGAATCATATTTAATAGAAATGTATCCTGTCTCAAAAACTGTAATAAGTAAAAATCAGAAGTGGCTGTTTAAGATTTTTCTCATAGCTGATGATATTATGTGCCAAGAAATTATTCCACTAAAACTTTTGAATTTGTCATTTTTATAACTGAAAAACAACAATTTTACAAAGTTCAGCCTACAAAGACGCTTAATCGTGCAAGTTAATTTATGGATTGTGATATTTTTCAGTTTTTAAATCAAAAATGTGCCAGAAACTTTTAGAAAAAAGGTTAAAATTTTTCAAGAGATTCTGAAGTGATTTTTGTAAAAAAGAGAATGTTATATTCATATAACCTTACAAACTGTTCCCTTGTACTACACTATTTAAAATTTAGTTCATATGAATACACAGGTATTTGAAAGCAACAACTAATCTCTGAAATGTTATGTAGGAATTTAATAAAATACCTCCTCTTACCCTACCTTCCCTTTTATTCATGTCTAACAATAGAATCGTGTGTTGTACAGAAATAATTATTCCTGAATGTAAAAAATTATTTACAATGGTTTTTACTCAGACCAACAGAACTTATTATTTGTTCCATTTAAAACATGTGCCCTGTTGCTCTTCCTTCAGTATTACAGAAAAATATTGAGTATAGTGATTAGCTTCCCAAGTATTTCAACAAAACACATTTTCTACTGAATCAAAGCTTATTATATATTTTTAAAATACTTCCTGTAGGCAAATTCGACTGAATTGCATTTTTTAAATGAATGTCAGTAAAATACCTTCAACTGCATTCTAGGTATAACATTGTAGGAAGCAGCTTACGGGTTTATCCCTGACTCAGGGCACAAATGAGGACTAAAGACAAAAAACACAAAGATAGCTTGGCAGAGGTGGGCCGGGGAACTCTCTGCCTCTAGTGGACAGAAGAGCACAGGGACCCACGAAGGTTCTGACTTTATTAGTAGAACAAGCCCAGGTAGCAAAAGTGGGATTCAGGGCACAAAGTACTGTCCATGATTAACAAGAAAGGTAACAACCCCACATCCAGATCCATGATTTTCTTGGTTTAACCTCAGCTGATGTTGTTCTGCCCCATGGGTGCCATGGGTGTCAGCAGGCAAACCAGGGAAAGGGTAGCTCTACGCCCCATCTCCTGTGCCCAGGAGAGGTCAACAAAGCCTCAGTGTCTGCTGCTGATCATAGCCCAGTCTCCCACATAACACAACGTAGGAAAATTTAGTGACGGCAGTTTAATGACGTAATTATGATGCTAACTTTCAACACTGAAGTGAAATCCATTTCAGTACAGATGTAGAGAACGCAACCATGTATTCCTCAGCAAGTGGCAGTGCAGGAGATGGCCCGGGAAGGGACAGATGTCCCAAATCTCAACACCCTGCACCCTTAAGTAAATACCCTTCCCGGGGCTGAGGCTTCATCCCTGGACCCAACCCAAGGTCCGTCCTACTCTGGAGGCATCTGCAGACTGGGACTGTGGCTGACGGTCTTGCTGGTTCCAGTATTAATCTCCTGCAGGTGCAGTTAGTGCCACTATTTCCATCCGAAGGCTTTCACTTTCAGCATTTTAAAGTGACAGCGTGGCTCAGTAGAAACTAAACGAAGATGAAAGAGCAGTCGCCCCATTTACCTAGCCATAGACATTCATGTCAGGGAAGAAATATTGAATACATGGAAGACAGTCACATTGCTCTAATGATGGCTTGGATGTGAAATATAAAATAATCCTGGCCTGGATGGCAGGATGATTTTTTTCATGAGTATTTGTAAATTGAAATGTTAGTATAAATTGAAACCTGATGTAGATTTGAGAACGTAAACTTCACAGGAAATGGCTGTGTGAATAATGCAGAGTAACAAGTAGAGATTCTTGTCAGTGATTCGTGAGTGAGTGCTCTGTAGGGTTTGAGACTGTGGTCCACTGTTAAAAATAAGTAGAATAATGTGCATGAACTATTTTTGGAGTAGAAACATTGTAAAAATCTATTAGAAGTGGACGCTGGGTCTCCCTGTTAGACTTAGGCATATCTATCTCGTGTAACTGTTACAACTTTTCCATTTTAAGAAACATTTTCAGAGTTATTTGCAATCTAATGTGTTCATTTTATACCTTATCATTTTATATTGAACGCAGACAAAATATATGGAGAGCTGTATTTTAGTTTTGGTGTCTATGGAATGAGAATTACTGAAAGAAGTTCTATCTTAAATAAAAAATAAATTTCATCATGTGTTATAAGTTTTGATCACCAATAGAGCTACGTGTGAGCCATCTACTTCCCTTTATTTTCTACTTCCAATGAAAATAAAGGTAAAGGTGTAGTTTTAGGAAAACAAGCAAGAAGTGATTTTCTCGGAGATACAAACAAAATGATGGGTCTTCAGTGATTTTTTTATTCTTTTCATCTTTTGTCTGTAAGCATGTATACCTGGCAATCTGTGCAAAGTGTAAAAGAATTACAATATAACATGCATTCAAATGTATTTCCATTAATAAACTCATAGTGATATTTTGATGAGTGCCGATTTCAGGGTCAATGTTTTTTTCAGTTACAAACAGGAGTTACTATTATACATTTTTTACAACAGTCTGTTACGATCACTCCTCCTGAACAGCTGAAAAGAACAAGAAGATTAGCTTTTAGCTTCTGTGATCGAATTTTTCCCCAAAAATAATTAGCCCTTAATTATGATTTTAGAAGAGCAGCAGAAAAAAAAATGTGAGGAGGATAAGAATAGATCAAATGCGTGTTGGAGGTCAAGGTTCAAAGCTAGCTTTGGTTTGCTATTGGCTTATTCATTTATGTGCTTGTTTGCTGTGTATTCCTCCCTTCACTTGCTCCTGTAAAGATGTCTGTGGTTCAGGAATCCAGGAGAGCCTGATTTCTGGGTGGCTGTGTCACAGGTCTCACAGGGTTGTAGTGAAGCTGTGCCTGGGCTGTCCTCATAGACAGCCTGACTGAATGCCAGATTGTGCTGCTGGTTTCATGCAGCTGGTGTTGGGAAAGTGTGATCCTCATTGGCTGCAGGCAAGTGTAGCAGGACACTTTGGTTCTTTGCCACATGGGCTTCTCTAGAGGGCTGCGGTTCAGCAGCTTTACTTCCCCCAAAGCAGCAGAGAGAAAGAGCGAGAGAACTCTGACCTCAGAAGTAACATGATTTCTACCACGTTAGTGGTCACAGCAGTCAAATCTGGTAGAGTGAAGAAGGACCTAAGTGTGAATACCAGGAGGTGGGGATCCCACAAGCCACGGTAGAGGTCCCCAGCATACAGTGTCCGGTGATCAACATGGTTTGTCTAGAAATTCAGTTGACAGTACCGGAGTACCTCAGCTCATGAGCTTAATTCTTTCCATGGTTCTGGCTGCAAAGAGAATTGGATGAGAACCGAATCGAATTCAGTGGTATACCAGATGCCGCTGATGCAGAAAGCAGACTCAAATCAAATTCCTGAGACAGTTTTACCTTGACACACACTTCCCCTTTTCCAGGACACTTCAGCTCGACTGGTGCCCCCTGAATAAAATGAGTCTGTTTCATGATAGAGTCTGTACAAAAGCTTCTTGCCTAGAATTCTCCGATCCCAAATTTTTGCACAGTAGTCTTCCTTGTGATTTATGTTTTTCTTCAGCAGAGTGACTCACAGTGGAAAGATGGGTCTGATGTAGTGACAGCTTCTTCTGTGTCACCGACCATTCCGAGGGGGAAAAGCACTAACTAGAAAAGTGTTGATTCTAAAATTCCAGAATATTTCCAATATATTCATGGCCTACTGTTAAGTTTTCATATTTTTATTTTCACTTAAAAGTGTAGATTATTTGATTTTCTATAAAATAAGCCACAATACAATACCTAGAATACTATGAAAGCACCAAAAAAGATAACCCCCAAATTTGCAAAAATGGATAACTTTAATCAGATAATTCTTTTAGTATTTTCAGTCCACAAGAAAACATTTTTAATAAGATTCTGTTTTATGGTGATCTATAAACGTTCTGGACTTCCCTTGGTAAAAATAATAAGGAATAATCCGAAGCAAATAAATTCCTAAGTACAAGCATGAAAGATGCACAATAATGTGAAAATCTTAAACTATAGGTGTTAGCTATGTAGTAAGAAGTGTGTCCTTTATGTTATTTCATTCTGTACATATCTTAATTTCTCAGTAACAGATTCAGTCTCTGGTTTTCCCTCTGTGTGCACACTCAGGAACGCAGAGGTATCGGTGTATTTTGCCCTAACTAGACACCCTTGAAACGAAAAGACACTTGGAATTATAAATATTAATTAAAAGCACAACTACAGTGAAATATTGTTAGTAAGATATATGAGATCATGAGAGTCATAAAAGATTAGTGGACTATTCTCAACTGAAGAGGACGAAAGAGGCTTTGTAACTAAAAGCATTGTGGGGCTGGGGATTGAGCTCAGCAGCACCGTGCCTGTCTTGCAAGCACAAGGTCCCAAGTTCAATCCTTGGTACCACCAAAAAAAAAAGATTGTGATTCTGAATTGGTTCTTTTGCTGTAAAAGTTGTTATTGGGATGGGACAAATGGCAAAATTTCACTGGGGTCTGAGGATTAGATGGTACCGAGTAGCACTGTTAATTTCCTGATTTGGGTAGTTGATATCTTGCTTGGTAACAGCTAGGTGACTACGGAATGAATGTTCTTAATTTATAGCTAAATTAAACCTTTCCTTCTTTAAGCTGTGAGCATTGGCTGTCGTATCCTGTAATGGGATACCTGGCTAATGCATGCTAGTTTTAAAAAGAAATGATAACTTTTGTAGTATTTTGAACTTTTCTGTAACTTTGTGATATTTTCAACATAAAAC